TATTAGGAGATGTATTTGTAAATATTCTATTATGTATACGTTTCTTTATTTGTGGGTAGTCTTAGGGTTTCTCTCTTGTGTATATATACCCGTATAATTCATCTAATGGAGGGCAAGCCGTTCTGTTCTTACTTTCTCATTTATCAATTTGGATCCAAGATACTTCAAAATTTGTCCCAATGTCTAGATTCACTAATAATGTGATGTCTGCGAGTCTTAATATAATATGGCCTATGTTAGTAAATAAAATTTCTTTCTCAAGTGAGAATGAACTCTGACTTGACTTGTCGAGGTAAGCACAATGTTGATGTTTCGTGATCGAGTTAATTAATCTTTTACTTAGTTTGAACCTCTGTAATTTTTTTTCACTTTATGGGAGCTTGCTTCCCATCAAAATTGTTTTTCTTTGGAAGCAGTATCATGTTTATATGTTCCCAATATGATCTCAAACTGAATTCCTCTTAGCTACAAACTGAATTCCTTTTCAGTGGCATGTCCATAAATCTTATGAAATTTACAGTACACATCTTTGTTACTCTCCATTAACTTTTAACCCTCATCATCTTTTTCGTGAACTTGATATACATCTTATTTGACCAATTTTACTATGTTTTAATAGGTTATTGACAAAGAAATTACTTGGTTTTGACATTTTATTGGTCTTTCTAGTTTTTTCGTAGATCTTAGAGTCTTTACAGAAAATTAGAGCATTTTGGACAAAAAAAATGGAAAACAAGTATTTTAAAGATAAGACATATTATGAACATATAATTTTTTGCATCACATGGATACTTTTCCTTGTTAGATGAAGCTCATATTTTACCTCAAGATAGGTGGGATCATTAGCTTCAAATTTCATATCAAAACATGTAAATAGAATGGTGCGGTCTCAAACTATGCCTAATTTACTGAATATTGTTCGATAAAGGTTCGAGGAAAAAGCAGCCTAGAGCATGAAGACTAATTGACTGATCAGTGCCCCAATAATCTGATGTTTTGACCCAAGTTCAAGTTTTCAAGTTGATCGATCGATCAACACATAGCAATCGATCGATGGCCAACCTTTTTTTCGAGTTTATCTCCTAATCTTCAAGGGAATTACCCTGGATCCGACCTCTTTCCTGTAAAAACACCTCTTTATAAGATTTAAATCTATCTTTCACACCAAACCTCTATAGTTTTCTTTGATTCAGTTCGATAAGGGAGAAGATCTAATCTCTTCGTACTCCTTGGCTAAGTTTTTTTAACCCCTTTCTCTTAATAAACATGTTCTCTACTTCTTTTGATTTGGTTATCATGTTTACGTTTGATTAGTTTATTTGTTGGATAATAAAAGGTCAATTCAAGGGTAATTTTTATGGTGTGATAGATATGTTTTAACAACTAAAGTGGTGCTTTTGATAAATCCGTACACTACTAGATTAGAGCTTTTGTAGCTATTTTTGCATTATAAACGACCAACTCGGTGGCTAAACAAGAGTTAAAAGTACTTAAGATCGATAAACCAAACATCTTCATTTGCCAAGGTTCATGAAGGATCCCGTAGAGATCAAGGTGATTGGTGGACATATATTTTCTAGCTTCAGGAGTACCGTGACACTACAAGAAAACAGACTCTTAGCGACTCCCAGAAGAGTCACAAATTCGTCGCAAACACCTTACTTGTGACTACTCTGCGACGCAAAACGGTAGTCGCTAAACATTCGTCGCTAATTTTTTGCGTCGTAAATGCGNCGCAAATTTGCNATGCCTTTGTGACAATTATATGTAGTCGGTAATTGATGACTACTTTGCAACGTTAATACAGAGTGGCAAATTAGCGACTAATTAGTGACACCCAGTCATTTGCGACTACTTAGTGACTGATATTATCGTCTTAAATTTGTGACTACTGTATGACGACTTTGTAGTCGT